AGAACAATGACTGAACATAACAGCACAGAACTGTGTTAGCGTGTTAGACAAAAGGTGTGTATGTGTGTGTGTCTCTGTGTGCGTGTGTGTGTGTGTGTGTGTGTGTGTGGGCTGTGCAATTAATCATATTTTAATCGCAATTACGAAACAACATAATCGATTATTTTGCTTTGCTAGGTTGTGACAGTGCACTACAACATATTTGATTAATTAATTTTAGTCTAATTTATTTTTATTTATCATATTTGTATATGTTTAGTAGCTTGTGGAAGTGCGCTCCAAAATATTTGTTGATCTTGTTTATTGGTATTTATTATTTTTGATATTATTTATTTAAATGTATCATTTATTTAATTTATTTTTTCAGTTGAATTATACGTTCAGGGTAATCAACAGTTAAAAAGATACTGTTCAAATTATTATTTGTTTTGAAGTTCAATAAATGGATGTTTTCAAAGTCAATTAATAATTGTATTTAATAATTGTGATATCAATTATTGACCAAAATAATCGTGATTATGATGTTTGCCATAATCGAGCAGCCCTAGTGTGTGTGTGTGTGTGTGTGTGTGTGTGTGTGTGTGTGTGAGAGAGAGAGAGAGAGAGAGTGACAAGAGCTATATTCAGAGCTCTGCTGCCTTGGCTACAATCTTTCATCGTTGCTGTTGTATGATTGGTGTTTAACTACGGTATTTAGCGTCTACAGCACCTCCACTTTTAGGGTTGACGTAGACCCAAACGTTGCCCGGAGGTCCCACTGTGTTGTTGCGGGAACTGCTGCACTAGCTAACGCTGCACTAGCTAACGCTACATTAGCCAAACAAACGCTAATTTATTTTGCAAAAGGTGCAGAGGGCTTCAAACACGTTCCCCTCCCCTGGTTTCAACCAAGCACTAAATTCGATGTTTTCCAACCAATAACGGTTGAACTTACACTTCCCCATATTTATTCGAAGATACATGAGTTTCTGACTGCCGCTAGCTGAAGCTTGGTTGCTAGGTTACTAGCTGGGTGTTCTCCAATAAGGGGCCGGCGGAAACAAAGTTAGTGATTACTGGTTCCATGTTGATTTATTTCAATACAAATTGTTGGGGGGAACTGAAAGGCTATTACCATACTGGTTACTTTGCAGCCCGGACATTTCCCCCAAAACACATTTAGACGCTATCGCAACACAGAAGTACCTTTCAAATCCGATCATTTTTAAGACCTTCTAAATCATATTTAAGACCTTTCTTATTTGTTTGGCCATATTTAAGACCTTTTTAAGGCCTTAAATTCATATTATCAAATTTAAGACTTTTTAAGACCCCGCGGGAACCCTGTTAAAGTAATATTATAAGTATTCCAGGTATCTTAAAGTAATATTAGAAGTATTCCAGGTATCTTAAAGTAATATAGAAGTATTCCAGGTATCTTAAAGTAATATAGAAGTATTCCAGGTATCTTAAAGTAATATAGAAGTATTCCAGGTATCTTAAAGTAATATAGAAGTATTCCAGGTATCTTAAAGTAATATTAGAAGTATTCCAGGTATCTTAAAGTAATATTAGAAGTATTCCAGGTATCTTAAAGTAATATTAGAAGTATTCCAGGTATCTTAAAGTAATATAGAAGTATTCCAGGTATCTTAAAGTAATATTAGAAGTATTCCAGGTATCTTAAAGTAATATAGAAGTATTCCAGGTATCTTAAAGTAATATTAAGTATCCAGGTTAAGAAGTATTCCAGGTATCTTAAAGTAATATAGAAGTATTCCAGGTATCTTAAAGTAATATTAGAAGTATTCCAGGTATCTTAAAGTAATATTAGAAGTATTCCAGGTATCTTAAAGTAATATAGAAGTATTCCAGGTATCTTAAAGTAATATTAGAAGTATTCCAGGTATCTTAAAGTAATATTAGAAGTATTCCAGGTATCTTAAAGTAATATTAGAAGTATTCCAGGTATCTTAAAGTAATATAGAAGTATTCCAGGTATCTTAAAGTAATATTAGAAGTATTCCAGGTATCTTAAAGTAATATAGAAGTATTCCAGGTATCTTAAAGTAATATAGAAGTATTCCAGGTATCTTAAAGTAATATAGAAGTATTCCAGGTATCTTAAAGTAATATTAGAAGTATTCCAGGTATCTTAAAGTAATATAGAAGTATTCCAGGTATCTTAAAGTAATATTAGAAGTATTCCAGGTATCTTAAAGTAATTTAGAAGTATTCCAGGTATCTTAAAGTAATATAGAAGTATTCCAGGTATCTTAAAGTAATATTAGAAGTATTCCAGGTATCTTAAAGTAATATTAGAAGTATTCCAGGTATCTTAAAGTAATATTAGAAGTATTCCAGGTATCTTAAAGTAATATTAGAAGTATTCCAGGTATCTTAAAGTAATATTAGAAGTATTCCAGGTGTCTTAAAGTAATATTAGAAGTATTCCAGGTATCTTAAAGTAATATAGAAGTATTCCAGGTATCTTAAAGTAATATTAGAAGTATTCCAGGTATCTTAAAGTAATATTAGAAGTATTCCAGGTATCTTAAAGTAATATTAGAAGTATTCCAGGTATCTTAAAGTAATATAGAAGTATTCCAGGTATCTTAAAGTAATATTAGAAGTATTCCAGGTATCTTAAAGTAATATTAGAAGTATTCCAGGTATCTTAAAGTAATATAGAAGTATTCCAGGTATCTTAAAGTAATATTAGAAGTATTCCAGGTGTCTTAAACTAAACTGTAGCTATGCACACATGATGATAACAACAAAACTGCCTTGAAGCCTTGAATTCAACACCGTGAACCAGGTGAAGTTTCACGTACGAATGAAAGAGAACATTATCAGGGAGGGTTCTGTAAATGTCATCTTGGTTGCAGGCAAACTATCCGAGAAGCGGCGGAAGAATCTCTGAGAAATAACAAAAAAAATGTTTGAAAGATTTGAGAACATTTACCAAAAATCTTCAAAAAAGTTACCAATAATTTAAGAACATTTCAAATAAGAATGTCCCAAAGAAGTAAAATAATTCCCCAAAATTGTAAAAAACCACCCAGAAAATGCGTTTTAAAAATCCCTTCAAAATGTGTTAAAGGAATGCCCAGAAATGTGAAATAAATATCTTAAAGATACCTGGATGGAATGTGTAAAAAAAGTCACAAAAGAATAAAAAGGTACAATTAAGTCTGGAAAATGTTTAAAAAATCTTCAAAGAATAATATATATATTAAATATAAATAATATGTGACAGTGTGCACAGATATGGGCTCTAACCACTTAGTTAAACATTGAGAAGTATTCCAGGTATCTTAAAGTAATATTAGAAGTATTCCAGGTATTTAGAGTATTACTAGAAGTATTCCAGGTATTTAGAGTATTCAGGGTTGCAAACTCATCAGGTATGAAAAAGGTGACAAGGATCCGAGCCCCCCACCCCACGGAATATCGGCTTTAAAATGAGGAATAACAGGATGTGAGCAGTCAGAACAACAAAAGCAGTTAATAACAGAAACACCAAAGAGTCACATCTAATAGAAATGTATAAAAGCATTTATTTGAATTGTGTAGCAGTCAGTTTATAATGTTGGCAGCACTGTTGAGCATTTTGAAAATGTATTTTCATGCCTCTGTGCAAGGCTTAGTCTTTCTATCTTTATAGCCAGTGGTGTAAAGTAACTAAGTTCATAAACTCAAGTACTATACTTGGGTACAATTTTGAGATACTTGTACTTTATTTAAGTATTTCAATGTGTTGCTACTTTGTTCTTCTACTCCACTACACTCCAGAGGTACATGGTGTACTTCTACTCCTCTACAGTTCAGAGGTACATGGTGTACTTCTACTCCACTATAGTTCAGAGGTACATGGTGTACTTTTCCTCCACTACATGTATTTAATACCTTTAGTTACTTCACAGATGTGGATGAATGATGTGAAATATAACCAAGTGTTAAATCAGACTTTAGTTCCACCTGGAGTAAATCCACAAGCTACCCTGCAGTATACAAAGTCATTCAAACTAGCTGCACCTTTACCAGCTTTGAGAACACTTTCATGATCAATCATTATAAAACATATCATATATATTATTCTGAAATGGACCAATCTGCACAATGACTACTTTTACTGTACTTTCACTATATTTTGATGAGAATACTTTAATACTTTCACTTGAGGAACATTTTGAATGAAGGACTTTTACTGTAACAGAGTATTCCTACACTCTGGTACTTCTACTTTTACTCAAGTACAAGATCTGAGTACTTCTACTTTTACTCAAGTACAAGACCTGAGTACTTCTACTTTTACTCAAGTACAAGACCTGAGTACAGTCGGTCCAGTCTGTGCCACAGTGACTCCGGACCGCACAGTTAATATTAACGAACGCACCCGTAGGTAATGTAGCTGCTGAAGCTAGACCCTCATCCCGGAGCAGCAGAGCCTTATTATACATCCATGAGCAGAGCTGACAGGAAGACTCGAGCACACAGCTCGCGCTTCATTATAATATATAAAAAAAGAACACCATGCGTGTCATGATGGCACATAACAGCTCGCGGCCGCAGATTACTCCGGGTCCCAGACCCCCCCATACCCCAAAAATATTTTTATTGCAGATCTACATGAATCACACAAACGACCTATTTTGGATTCAAAACGGCGAATTTCGCCGAAAGGTGACAAGTTTGCATCCCTGAGTATTACTAGAAGTATTCCAGGTGTGTTAGAGTGTTATTAGAAGTATTCCAGGTATTTAGAGTATTACTAGAAGTATTCCAGGTGTGTTAGAGTGTTATTAGAAGTATTCCAGGTATTTAGAGTATTACTAGAAGTATTCCAGGTGTGTTAGAGTGTTATTGGAAGTATTCCAGGTGTGTTAGAGTGTTATTGGAAGTATTCCAGGTGTGTTAGAGTGTTATTAGAAGTATTCCAGGTGTGTTAGAGTGTTATTAGAAGTATTCCAGGTGTGTTAGAGTGTTATTAGAAGTATTCCAGGTGTGAGGTCTCTTACGTCGGGCAGGTGCAGGATGTCGCGGTCCACCACCTCCCCATCGATGGCCATGAGGGTCCGCAGGTAGACGTCGACTCCGCGGGGGTTCAGACCCACGAGAGTCAGGATGTCGAAGAAGAACTTGGGCCACAGCGTCAGGTACTCCATGACGAAGGTGAGCGCGAACACCTGAGCAGCTTTGTTCCTGATGAAGGGCTTCTCCGGCTCCGCGTTCATCAGCTGCACAAATATAATAATGCCTTTAATAAACATTGATTTAGTGCAAGCTGAGGTCACTTAGAAATACATGCTTTTTTATAGAAAACGTTTTGATTTTGTCGTGATTGGAAGTATTCAAGAAATCCAGAAATGTGTTAAAAATGTTTGGAAATATTTTTTGGAATTAAATGTAAAATAAATGTTGTAAAATGTCACAACACATTTTCTTTTCTTTTTTATCCAGAAATGTGTTAAAAAAGTGAAAAAGTGTCCAGAAAAGACGTCTGGAAATAATATCCAGAAAATCGAAAAATAATCGAAAAATGTGTAAAAAAGGTCTGAATTTTTTTTTGACAAATAAGTGAATATTTGGTTCAAAAATAATCTGCAAAAATTACAAAAATAATGTCCAGAAAAATGTTTTAGAAAACCCAGAAATCGGAAAAATCTCTCAGAAATGCATAAAAAGAAAATCCAGAATGGTGTTTTTAATAATAAGTCTAAAAAATGTCAAAGAAAAGCTATTGTTTAGTACCTGAATCTGCAGCCACTTCATGAGCGTCTCTCTGATGAGCTGCTGCTGAACCGCACTCAGACCGGCGTGTCTGCAACACAAACCCAACGTCAACACAAACACAAACACAACGTCAACACAAACACAACGTCAACACAAACTCACCTGAAGCGGATCTGATGCTCCAGCACTTGGAAGCAGAAGAACTTCACATGGTCATCACTGGAACAGATAAACATGTTAACACACACACACACACACACACACACACACACACACCATTAACTTTATAATGTATACATATTAATATTAGAGGTGTGTGTTGGCACTCACTTGTAGATGCCTTTAGCGAGAGCCTCGGCACAAACCTCCCAGCCGTCCTGAGACTCCTTCAGCTGCTCAAAGTACGCCATGGCCTACACACACACACACATTATTATTACTATACAATCAAACCATTAATCAGAGCAGGACTGGGGCGTAGAAGAGGCAGAGAGAGGGAGCAGGCAAACAGTAGAAAATATGCTTTTGAATGACACAGATTTGGAAAAAGTGCACAAACGATTTCTAGGAAATGTCTTGTGGGAAAAAGTGGGAAATATGTTTGGAAACAAATCTGGAAAATGCCAAAAGAATATCAGAAATATGACAAAAGATATCAGATAAAAAGTTGGGACAAAAGAATATATTTTTGGGAGAAAAAGTGTAAAAATGTCCAGAAAACGTGTTTTAAAAAAAGGTCCAAAGAATTAAGAAAATCTATCTAAAATAAATGATAGAATAACACAAAGACTAGTGTAGCCTCGTCCTAATGGTTAGTGTTAGTGACATGTTATAATGGGGGGGAAATACAAATATCTGCAAAAAAGTCAATAGAATATCTGAAAAAAGTTCATAAAAAATATCGGAAACATTTCAGAAAGAAATCGACAGTAAAATGTCACTCGATGGAATGAACGTCCTCACCCTGTGTCTGTAGCGGGCGTCGGCGTTGGGGTTGAGCCCCAGCAGGGCCTGCTCGTCCATGATCACACAGACAGACTGGCAGGCCATCCAGTGTTAGCTTAGCTTCAGATAGCTGCTCTCTCTCATCTGCAGGAAACACAGGAACACACATCAAATATATCATGGGACTTTCAGAAGGGTGTCGCCTTGACCAGCTGACGTAAGAGTCATCCGCAGCTTCAGGTTTGTTGAGATGCCAAAACGACAGCTATGTTGTTGAACCTGGATTACATCAGGTATTTATAAAGGTGAGCAGGTGAAGATCAGTGTGTGGTGTCTCTACTTTAAAGAGTCCTCTCCTGCTGATGTTCAAGTGTATATCAGTATGTGGTGTCTCTACTTTAAAGAGTCCTCTCCTGCTGATGTTCAGGTGTATATCAGTATGTGGTGTCTCTACTTTAAAGAGTCCTCTCCTGCTGATGTTCAAGTGTATATCAGTATGTGGTGTCTCTACTTTAAAGAGTCCTCTCCTGCTGATGTTCAGGTGTATATCAGTATGTAGTGTCTCTACTTTAAAGAGTCCTCTCCTGCTGATGTTCAGGTGTATATCAGTATGTGGTGTCTCTACTTTAAAGAGTCCTCTCCTGCTGATGTTCAGGTGTATATCAGTATGTAGTGTCTCTACTTTAAAGAGTCCTCTCCTGCTGATGTTCAGGTGTATATCAGTATGTGGTGTCTCTACTTTAAAGAGTCCTCTCCTGTTGATGTTCAGGTGTATATCAGTATGTAGTGTCTCTACTTTAAAGAGTCCTCTCCTGCTGATGTTCAGGTGTATATCAGTATGTAGTGTCTCTACTTTAAAGAGTCCTCTCCTGCTGATGTTCAGGTGTATATCAGTATGTAGTGTCTCTACTTTAAAGAGTCCTCTCCTGCTGATGTTCAGGTGTATATCAGTATGTAGTGTCTCTACTTTAAAGAGTCCTCTCCTGTTGATGTTCAGGTGTATATCAGTATGTAGTGTCTCTACTTTAAAGAGTCCTCTCCTGCTGATGTTCAGGTGTATATCAGTATGTAGTGTCTCTACTTTAAAGAGTCCTCTCCTGTTGATGTTCAGGTGTATATCAGTATGTAGTGTCTCTACTTTAAAGAGTCCTCTCCTGCTGATGTTCAGGTGTATATCAGTATGTAGTGTCTCTACTTTAAAGAGTTCTCTCCTGCTGATGTTCAGGTGTATATCAGTATGTAGTGTCTCTACTTTAAAGAGTCCTCTCCTGCTGATGTTCAGGTGTATATCAGTATGTAGTGTCTCTACTTTAAAGAGTCCTCTCCTGCTGATGTTCAGGTGTATATCAGTATGTAGTGTCTCTACTTTAAAGAGTCCTCTCCTGCTGATGTATAATTAATCTAATCTACTCCCAGTTCTTATAATAATAATAATCCTTATATTTATTAGAGCGCTTTTTCAATGACCCTCAAAGCGCTCGTTTCAGATACACATATCAAACATGTAACGGTCATGTCCTGTGGAGAACACTCACAGCTGAAGTGTCTTGCCCAAGGACACTTTATCTCTGTTTGAAATCATGATACAGTGATAGGTGTGTTTGTTCTCCTCCACAGCAGGTAGTGTATGGAATATGAGAATAACTCAGAGTACATTTGAAAAGTCCCACTATAACCAAAGAGGACTCTTAAACCCTTATGGTATCAACACTGTAATATTGTGTATTTCATTTTATACATATGTATGGATATCCTGACAGCTTTCACTAAATAGAACTAGGCCACGAGTTGTGTTGTTGTTTTATGATTATTTAGTGTCATGTATATTATATTAAGTCTGTTGGAAGAAGAGCTGGTATGGATCCTAAAAGTATTATAAACAGCATTATAGTGGATATAATGACAGTTCATCCTTTCTAACATCAGTCAACAACAACAACAACAACAATACAAATACTTCTTATTTTCATTATATATCACAGTAGAAGTAGCATATGTATGTCTTTACTAAATAAAACTAGACATGTGTTGTTGTGTTTTAGTGATTATCTACCGTCATGTATTAATGAATGATCCTGATATATATAATGTAATAAAAAGGTGTATATTTGACACTAATATCTACTTAAAAGCAGCTTTATGTTGTGTATTAATATATATGTATAGAGGATATCCTGACAGCTCATCCTCCTCCCTACATGATGCAACACACCGTCAACACCTTTACACTCAATATACAATAACAGTTTGTGATTTTACTAAATAAACGAGGCTGTGTTTTTGTTGTTGTTGATGTTGTGTTTTGTATGTTTTATTGTGTATATCCTAATCATGTATATTACATTAAGTTTGTTGTGGATCCCTGAGAGAAAAGCTGCTGCCTTTACTACAGCTAACTGGCATCCTGATGAATTAAATGTAATAAAAAGGTGTATATTTGACACTAATATCTACTTAAAAGCAGTATTATTGTGTGTATTTATATATGTATAGAGGATATCCTGACAGCTCATCCTCCCTACATGATGCAACACACAGTCAACACCTCCATGTCTCCTTTACAGTGTCAACAACAACAATACAAACACACATACTTCACATATAAGGGGTTACATGTGTATAAATATGACCTGGGCTGTGGATCCTATATAAGTTACAATGCTAACAAGCTAACATGCTAACAACTTCACATTTAGAAACGCTGCTAACTGAAGCTAGCATTAGCATCATAGCTTTGTGACTTCGTTCATTAAACACTTTTAACAAACCCTAAAACACCAGTCATCCCCGGAGCAGTGTTAATGACGTTAATGTTGGTATTTCAGGATAAGTAGATGAAGTTTTAACGTGTTTTTACATGTCAGTTGGTCAGGTAACGGTTACCTAAAGAACATCTCGCGATGACAAACTGACGTGAGCCGTTTTTAACCGAGATTTACACAATAATAACAGAGAGTAGATGAGAGGAAACTTACCTTAATTAAAACTGAATAGATTAATGTGTTTTCCCCCACGTCAGTTCATCGTGGAGCCGCTGAGAATCATCCAGAAATCTGCTGCATGTCGTCGGACTGAGAGGAGCGGCGTGTCTGGTCGTTAACATCCGGGTCACACAGGAAGCACTACGGTACGGGTTTTCCTTCTTTCTTTTTTCCCCTTCTTTTTTTCTTTTTCTAACTAGCGAAGAGTTACTTAGCGAAGAGTTACTTAGCAAAGAGTTACTTAGCGAAGAGTTACTAGTTAGTGAAGAGTTACTAGTTAGTGAAGAATTACTTAGCGAAGAGTTACTAGTTAGTGAAGAGTTACTTAGTGAAGAGTTACTTAGCGAAGAGTTACTTAGCGAAGAGTTACTTAGCGAAGGGTTACTTAGCGAAGGGTTACTTAGCGAAGGGTTACTTAGCGAAGAGTTACTAGTTAGTGAAGAGTTACTTAGTGAAGAGTTACTTAGTGAAGAGTTACTTAGCGAAGAGTTACTTAGCGAAGAGTTACTTAGCGAAGAGTTACTAGTTAGTGAAGAGTTACTAGTTAGTGAAGAGTTACTTAGCGAGGAGTTACTTAGCGAAGAGTTACTTAGCCACTAACTAGTAACTCTTCACGTTACTTAGCGAAGAGTTACTTAGCCACTAACTAGTAACTCTTCGCTAAGTAACTCTTCACGTTACTTAGCGAAGCCGTAAAGCCGTTTTTTTCCCAGATATTTTTACACAAATATGTTCCCCCCATTATAACATGTCACTAACCATAAGGATGAGGCTACACTGGTTTTATACTATTGGTAGACTTTTGGGAAAACATTTCAGATATTTTATTTTCAAATGAATCCAATATTTTTTCTTACATTTTCCAGACCTTATTGTTGACTTTTTCCAGAATTTTTTTGAATATTCTTCTGAATTTTTTCATATTTTTCTGACATTTTCCCGATATATATTTTTTTAATTTTTCAGATGTCTGTTTTTGACATTTTTCAGATTTTCTATTGACTTTTTTCATAAATATTTTCAACTTTTTTCCACTGTTGGTTCTTACACTTTTCTTACATTTTTGTGAGGGCACAACAAACACATTTTCTAGAATTTGTTTGCCCTTTTTCCAGAACTGTGTCATTCAAAAGCATATTTCCTCTGAGTTTAAAAAACGGTTTGTCTGCTTCCTGCACTCTCTCTTTCTCTTCCACTTCCCAGTACAGCTCTGATTAATGGTTTGATTTTATAGTAATAATAATAATGTAAAAATATTCATACAAAATATTTTATACAAATAATATTTGTTTTTTCATATTTCACCCACAGTTATGTTATTTTATTGATGTATACATTATATTATGATACTAGGCGAATTTACGGTATTTATCTTTAATTTATTTTTATTTTTATTTTATTTATTAGTTTTTTAGGGAAAGATACGTAGTGTAGCCGTCAAAATATTAATACAAAATAATATTATTTTAAAATATATTTTAACCACAAAATAATATTTATCTTTTATATTTTAACCACAGTTATATATTATATTATAGTTGTATAGATTTAGCGAATTTATCCGAGTGACGATCAAGACTGAGTCTGAAGTTCGTTTCAGATTCGTATGAGCAAAAAACATATATATAATTTGTGGTTTATTCAACATAAATCAAAATCGTCATTCAAAAATGTTTTAATATAAATAAAATAAATAGCAATATTTCAAAGACCAGTACAAGTTTTTAATTTTAATTTTATTATTATTATAAAATATAATAAATATTTTAAAAGTATAATTACCAACGTGACACCATCTTCAGTCTGAGTCCCCGGATGTCCCGCCTTTCCCCGCCTCTCAGTCCATATGACGTCACCGGGCTCCTCCTTCCAGCTTCCTCTTTTCCCGTGGCAGTGACAGACTGACACCATGAAGGCGTCCGGCACAGTACGTAAAACCTTTAAAATCCACATTTAAACCCGAAACACACGGGATACACGAACCGATGTCGATTTATAACGCTATGTGTGTACGATTTATGTATTAACATTTCGGAAAAATCTAGAAATTAGTGGCATTTTGAGTGTTTTTCGTCCCGGTTTGAGCGTCCAACATGGCGGGTGCTAGACCATGTGGAGACCGACCGTTAACATGAGATTCCGTTAGAAATCACTACTATTCTCTAAATATACAACACCATTCAGACATCCTTACTTGTAGAGTTGTGTGTGTCTAATCATCAGCTAAAAGCACCGCATGATTCGTTTTTAGCTGTGGCGTTAAGCTAATTTAAAGCTAACAAATGCTAACGTGTTTTCTAACTTGACTCCAATGGAAGCTAACTAATGCTAACTGCTAACGTGGTGCTAATGTGTTTCCTCCGCAACGTGGGATTAGCATGTAGCTTTCTATAAGTGAGCTGCTTGTATTTTAAACGGGTTTTAAATTGCTAAGAGTGTTTTTTAACAGTATATAAAGTTGATTAAAGAGCCCCTCTCCTGTGGCAAATAGCAAGGCTAGTTTGAAGTGTCTTAATAGTTTCTGCAGAATTCCTATTGCTAACATGCTAGCTCCAATGGTACATCATAACCAAGTTTAATGCCAGGTACATTTACCGTTTTATGGGGGTGCAAACATAAACAAGATGAGGTCAAAACTATACCTGCTGTTTAGCATTAAAGTAGAATATGTATTAAGTATTTACACCAGATCTAATTAAAACGAAAAGTACAATATAGTCAAAACATACATGCTCTGAGCTTTCCTAAGTGAACAAAACATGCATATCAATTACCAGTTCAAATCCAGCATGTTTTTTATTTTACAGTACATCCAAGTGCATGTGTGACTTAAGTATGTCAATAATAAATCATCATGCTTCTTATAGTACAAAGCACAACGAAGATGACTAAAACAAGTGTTAAATTGTTTGTGATGTTACTTGACTGAGTGCAGTGATTAATGTAAATAAGTCATGTTGAGCTTCGAAATATACACAATATTCTCGTAACTAAAGCTAATGTAAAATGTAAGGGTAGTTAGCAGCGCAAGTGTTGAAAAGATAATTAAAATCAAAGATGCCCTTTTTTTTTTCAACAGCAGTGTGTAGGTATTTGACAACAGAACATATTTAACATTCATGAAATTATATGCAAAGCTACAGAAAGTGCTCGACAGGGCGAAACTAAGTCCAAGAAAAAGTCTCCACTAAATCAACATTTTATTGTCCATGTTAAAGTGCACCCTAACTTTTTTCCCTTCTAAATTGAGTTTATTGCATATTAATTTAACCAGACAATATGACGAGAGGTTTAAATGTAACTCTACAGACGTCTCCGGTCAACGTCTGGTAAATACTTCCTAATGGCGTTGACAGATTGATGAAACATGTCTATATGTATATGAATGTTGTTCAAAGTGATGCACCCAAACCCAAAGGCCATATCAGTGTGATATGATTTTGTCTGGCGTGCAAACAGGAACTGAACCTTGTCGCCTTTCTTTGAGCTGCCGTGCCTCTGAAAGTGAATCCAAGGAGCTACAGATCTGTTGTGTATATTTCTATATATATGTATTTAAAGTTATATATATATATATGTTACCCGTCGCCAGAGGTGGGAAGTAGTGCGGTATAAATACTTTGTTACTGTACTTAAGTACATGTTTCTGGTATCAGTACTTTTGTTCAGCATGGAAACATTCATTAGCTAACCATGACATTATTGTTCTATTAATATAAAGGGAGGTCAGGTACTCTTTAAAACAGCTGCTAGTTATGGGTACTTTTTACTGAAGTACATTTCAAAGCCCTCTTTACTTTCACTTGAGTAAAGAAGTTTAGTCAGTACTTCTACTTTCACCAGAGTATTTTTAAACACGAGTATCTGTACTTCTACTTGAGTAAAGGATGTGTGTACTTACTCTCTCTCTCTCTCTCTTGTGTTCCTGAAGCTTCGGGAGTATAAGGTCGTTGGGCGCTTGCTGCCCTCGGCGAAGAACCCGGCCCCCCCTCTGTACCGCATGAGGATCTTCGCCCCGAATCACGTGGTGGCGAAGTCCAGATTCTGGTACTTCGTTTCTCAGCTGAGGAAGATGAAGAAGGCGTCCGGAGAGACCGTCTACTGCGGACTGGTAAACAACACTCACACTGCAGACAACAACATGTACACAGACACACATTTCACACCAGACAGATTTTCTCAATTCAGAAGCATCTTGTGGGTTTCATTAGACGAGGTCAATGTACCTTTGTATCCCATGCACGTACATCAGATCTAAACTGGTATATGCACATCATCCCAGTAGCTGTGATCTAACTTGCTCACTCGTATAAAAAACAGACAACTTAAAAAAGAAATGGAGAGTTTTAAAGTATTGTTCTCGTTCTACACGTCATCATAGCGGCTGTTTTTTACTTCACTTGGTCACTATGTACGAGAGAAGATGAACTGTTGATATGAAATCCACCACATTGGGATATTAAAACCTGCTGAATCGTTTCTATCAACGCTGACTGACACATCTTCCAACCCTAACCCTAGATGTGTTTTCTGTCTCTTGGCAGAAAAAAACGTTGAATTATTTTATATGTTTTTAAACGTCTGTGCTCTTGTGGCATCAACGAGAGCAGCTGGTACGACTCGTCTATTCAGATTATATGAATACGCTCTAAATTGTGCTTATTGTATATTTTTACCAGACAATACGAGCAGAGAGATTTAAACAGACGTCTCGAGTCAAAGTCACTTAAATACCGACCAATGGAAACACTGGTATAGATACATGTATTTAAAAGTGACTCTTTAAATGATTAATACTACGTTTGAAGTAAAACATGCCGAGACTTATCCAAATGAAAGTAACTTAAAGGGGACCTATCATGCTGTATTATAATAATATAGCATGATAGGTCCCCTTTAAGTGAGATTTGAATAAGAACATTTATGATTGTAAACTTTGTAGAAACATGGTTGTAAATTGTAAATGAATGCATATTTCGCCGCACTACGTGAAAGAAAGACATATTACAATATCTCTGCAGTAAGTCTTTATGTCAGGATATGCATATGAATGTTGTTCAAAGTGATGCACCCAAACCCAAAGGCCGTATCAGTGTGATATGATTTTGTCTGGCGTGCAAACAGGAACTGAACCTTGTCGCCTTTCTTTGAGCTGCCGTGCCTCTGAAAGTGAATCCAAGGAGCTACAGAACGTAACGATCTCACGGAGAACACTGTTTTTTTTATCTGCTTTAAATATACGATCCATTACACCCGAGCACCTGGAGGGTTTATACTGGGATTTGACCACTTTGTGAAGATTTAAGACGCATTACAGCCTTTTGTGATAAGTGCATGAAGACGGGTAAAACGTTGGCTCCAACATGTCAGAAGACTCTCCGTCTTTCCCACTGCTTCACACACTCCCTTTAGTCTCTGTATAATCTAAATGTGTGTGTGTGTGTGTGTGTGTGTGTGTGTTTCAGGTCCATGAGAAGACTCCTCAGAAGGTGAAGAACTTTGGTATCTGGCTGCGTTACGACTCTCGCAGCGGGACACATAACATGTACAGAGAGTACAGAGACCTGACCACATCTGCAGCCGTCACCCAGTGCTGTGAGTATTATAAACATCACACACACACACACACACCTCCTCACACACCTCATCACACGCCTCATCACACGCCAGGGTCGAGGGTTAAATACATCTAAAAATACAGACAAACGACTTTGTTTTTAACTATAATATATTTTACATCCATGAACAGGAAGTGCTGGACGGAGTGAAAGACTGTTGACTCTAAATCCACATGTTACAGTGTGTTCATGTCAAAGTGATGCACCCAAACCCAAAGGCCGTATCAGTGTGATATGATTTTGTCTGGTGTGCAAACAGGAAGTGAACCTTGTCGCCTTTCTTTGAGCTGCCGTGCCTCTGAAAGTGAATCCAAGGAGCTACAGAACGTAACGATCTCACGGAGAACACTGTTTTTAATATACTATCCATTACACCCGAGCATCTGGAGGGTTTATACTGAGACCAGGTATTAAAACAAGCTCATCTTCACCAACAGAGCTACCACCATGGGGTGTTAGTAAGTAGTGTGGGTGAACGTGGGGTGGGTCAGGTGTTTGAGTGGCAAACTAAGATGAAGGGGCTGAGAGAGAGAGACGGGCCTTTCACTCCTCAGGTACGCCGGCCAGGTGCCCTCAGTCAGTGCTCACACACACACACACACACACACACACACACACACACACACACCAGGGTTGTCACAGCGGTCTGAAGCTGCAGGGGAGTGTAATAGCAACAAGCTAAACAAACTCAAGAAAGACTTCTGGGGTCGTTGTTGATGTGAGGGGTTTTCACAGAATGAGTCCTAACGGCCTGAAGAGAGAGAGAGAGCGTTCTACGTTGTGTGTACGGTATTTATATATAGGCTTTACGTTAGCTCCTACTTATACTAACCCTCCTCTTCCTCTTCCTCCTCAGATCGTGATATGGGAGCTCGTCATCGTGCTCGCGCTCACTCCATCCAGATCATGAAGGTCCAAATCATCGCTGCCAACAAATGTCGCAGACCGGCTATCAAGCAGTTCCACGTACGTATACTTTTATATACATTAGATACTATCAAGCAGTTCCACGTACGTATACTTTTATATATATTATACACCACGTACGTATACTTTTATATATATTATACACCACGTACGTATACTTGTATACATATTATACACCACGTACGTATACTTGTATACATATTATACACCACGTACGTATACTTGTATACATATTATACACCACGTACGTATACTTGTATACATATTATACACCACGTACGTATACTTGTATACATATTATACACCACGTACGTATACTTGTATACATTATACACCACGTACGTATACTTGTATACATTATACACCACGTACGTATACTTTTATACATTATACACCACGTACGTATACTTGTATATATCATAACTATCGAGCAGTTCCACAGATCTTCATTCATTCAGAATAAACTGCATCGACCCGTTCCCCGGTGTCTCCCCTCTGCAGGCTTGTTGTTGTTGTTGTTGTTGTTATTAAATGTATATGTGTTTGTTTGTTGCAGGACTCTAAGATAAAGTTCCCTCTGCCGCATCGCGTCCTGCGTCGTCAGCACAAACCTCGCTTCACCACCAAGAGGCCCAACACCTTCTTCTAAACGTTTGACTGAGAGGACAATAAAAGAACCGTGGAAACAAACTCCGTCTCTCTCTTCATTCATATATTATATATATATATATATATATTATATTATATCCAGGGCTCGTACGGTCATTAAAAACCTGGAAAAGTCATGGAAATTAAAAAAGCAAATTCCAGGCCCTGGAAAACTATTTTTCCAAAAGTTTTGGAAAAGTCATGGAAATGTGACTAAAGTTAAATCAAATATAATTTATATTTAATATAATCGCCGAAATAGTAAAACTATAATGATAATACATGCTTTAATGAAACGTAGAATGGCTTTTAACTGACGAGGTGTTTTGCTGGTGAGAGATTTGAGTTGCTTTAGCGTGTAGAAGCTAGTCAGACTATTGGATTTGTTTCAGATAGGGACAACATGTTTCAGATGCAGACCTTATTTTCCTGATCCAGGTTCAAATAAACCATTTGGTACGCTGAGAGTCATTCCTTTGGTCATGGAAAATGAGGTAAAGGTCATGGAGAAAGTATGAACCCTGGATATTACAGAAATGGTGTTTGCTGCAGTTGCACCATTTGTCCACAGGGTGTCGCTGTTTTGCACAAAGCAGGGTTCTGTGTTTCTGAACGCATTAAGAAGTGAGTTCATTTGGGATCTGAATATACAAAAAATTGCTTGATTTTTAACAAAACGTGTGTGAAATCCTCAGTAAATATACAATTAATCAATAAGCAGACGCATATCTGGCTATATTTATATTACATTACAGAAATGGTGTCTGAACATGGAGGAGAAGCAGGGTTTTGTGTTTCTGACCACATTGGGAGAAAGTCTAACAAACCCCCGATGCTCACATGCTGGAGGAGGTGCGTGGCAGCCGACGTGAACTTTTTATTTAGTAAGAAATGGAGCAATATTTGGATAGAAACTCGGCTTAAAGCGTCAGATTGTGGACGATTTCTAACTCGTTCTTCACCTTGATCAATGTTATCCATCTTCAGGAGAAAAGACGAGAGTTTTTGCACCAATCATTTAGTTTAAGGGTTTGAACAATGTTGGATACTTTGAGAAACACCTTGCTGTCTAACATGGGTTTGGCTTTGAATGGATGAACAAATGAGCCCCTGAACACTTTGATATTCACACACAGCTGCTTTTACCTAGCAACTCGTCAACCAATCGCATCCATTCATAAATAATTACATCTATTTTCAATTGTACATTTTTTCACATCTGAATTTATAAAAGGAGTTTATAAATACCATTTTTTATAAATTCGTTTATTTTGGTATTTTTTAAACTTTATTTAAAATACAAAAAGTACAAATACAATCACTTAAGTTAAAATGTGTTTAATTAGTTTCTCTTCAGTCCATTCAGATTTAAACACTGAAAATAAAATATATATGAAATCAGTGTCTTTGTGTTCCTAAAGTCTCAGGTGTCTCTAAACGTCAATTAAAGTCACACTAATTATATTCAGCTGTCGTTAATTAATGATCATTTACACCTGAGCTTTCCCTTCTGATTCAATTTAGGAAAATAATAATACACCTTTATTTCCCTGATTTGACCAGGCGGCAAAGATGAACATTTAACCTGTTTTATTCCCTTTTTTTCGTCTCTAAAATGCTGTTTTTAAAACCACTGTTAAACTTTTTAAATCTGTACCATGTTAAAGTGGAGACTATTTGATTTGTTTAAAACCTTTAAAATGTACACCTCTTTATTTAAAGTGTAAAAACACAAAGAAAATTGTTTTTATTCTCTGATCTTTTTCGATGTACGCTGCAGTTGCACCATCTGTCCACAGGGTGTCGCTGTTGTCCATCACATGAAGCTGAATCTCAGGTGAGTCTGATTCAGGTCCAGGTGATTATCACACAGTCACTATACAAAAGTAAATCCTTTAAAATATAAATTCCTATTTTCTTCTGGAAACCAAATAAATAAAAATAGGTCTCTTCATTTGTACATTCATTTAAAAAAAATATATATATAAAGGTGTCAATTGCACAAGTCAAAGTCTCATAAACTGTAAGTGGAGGAAAAGAAACCTTTAATATAATCAAAATAATTATTTAAATAAAATGATTTAACGAGGAAAAAACTATTAATTTATGATTTCATCTTTTACTAGTTATATGTAAATGTTTTGAATATCTCCGTTAGCTTAGTTCCTGTCCCTTTCTGTGTCTCCGTAGTCACACACACACACACACATACTGTACGTGTGTGTGTGTGTGTTCCTCAGACCTCCTGGATGGATGGAAACTCGCTGTTCGGTGACTCACGGTCGTAAACGGAGATTTAAAATCATTACGGCGCTCCGCCTCCAAAGCAAACAGCAGAAAAATGGGATCTGAAATGGTGTTTGGGCTTTTTCCACTCCTGACACAAAGAGGCTCAGTGCTGCTTTATGTTATATAATATCATTTCATTATTTCATATACAGCAGGGTTTTATTGTGGGCATTAAGAGGAGCGTCCCTCTGGAGCTCCTTGTGAGGGAGACGCCGCCAACAGGCCGTGAAGACACAGCGAACACGGCAGGGTTTAGAGCAGGACACGAGCACGCCGCACAGAGACCTGGATCATCGGGAAGAATCAAGTCCAAAGGAAGACTTCCAAAGACGAGATACAACATGTCCTCAAAGAGTCCAGGAAGAGACACAACATGTCCTCAAAGAGTCCAGAAAGAGACACAACATGTCCTCAAAGAGTCCAGGAAGAGACACATGTCCTCAAAGAGTCCAGGAAGAGACACAACATGTCCTCAAAGAGTCCAGGAAGAGACACAACATGTCCTCAAAGAGTCCAGGAAGAGACACAACATGTCCTCAAAGAGTCCAGGAAGAGACACAACATGTCCTCAAAGAGTCCAGGAAGAGACACAACATGTCAAAGAGTCCAGGAAGAGACACAACATGTCCTCAAAGAGTCCAGGAAGAGACACAACATGTCCTCAAAGAGTCCAGGAAGAGACACAACATGTCCTCAAAGAGTCCAGGAAGAGACACAACATGTCCTCAAAGAGTCCAGGAAGAGACACATGTCCTCAAAGAGTCCAGGAAGAGACACAACATGTCCTCAAAGAGTCCAGGAAGAGACACATGTCCTCAAAGAGTCCAGGAAGAGACACAACATGTCCTCAAAGAGTCCAGGAAGAGACACAACATGTCCTCAAAGAGTCCAGAAAGAGACACAACATGTCCTCAAAGAGTCCAGGAGGAGACACAACATGTCCTCAAAGAGTCCAGGAAGAGACACATGTCCTCAAAGAGTCCAGGAAGAGACACAACATGTCCTCAAAGAGTCCAGGAAGAGACACAACATGTCCTCAAAGAGTCCAGGAAGAGACACAACATGTCCTCAAAGAGTCCAGGAAGAGACACAACATGTCCTCAAAGAGTCCAGGAGGAGACACAACATGTCCTCAAAGAGTCCAGGAGGAGACACAACATGTCCTCAAATTTGGGGCATTTCCACCATGGCACGGTTTAAGCGTGTCGTGTCGTGCCCGTTTTTGGTTGCGTTTCCACTAGGCCTAGTTCCGGCCCGGGGCCACTTTTTCACCTTTTTTCTGGCCCGACAAAATCGTGGTTCTATCGGGGCCAACAACGAGGCTGAGTCGGGCTGAGTATGCTAAACTAGAGAGAGCATCGCTGGCAAGGGGGCTACAACTACAACAAGATGAACATATTTGACCGTGATTTAATTGTAATACACGTTTCAAAATGATGAAGTAACAACATACTGATACCGGTTAGTAAAAACCATGAATTAATGCTTTGACAAGTCTGCAGACAGACGGCAGGAGAAACACCTTTTAAAATGCGTGTTTTCTGAATGGAGATTGGCTAAGCTAACGCAGTATATGCTCCGACCGTCCACACTCACAACAACGGCCTATACAGACATAAATAAAGCAGCGACTGTATTCACCATGACACAGGCAGTCTGTGGTTTGTACTTGTTTCACTTTTGTCTAGTTTCTGAACAGATATGAGGAGCAGTGAGCTCTGAGTGCTAACAGCTAACGGCTGTGTTGTTTTTCTGGGGTTCTCATTGAAGATCACGTCACGGCTCCGCCTACACTGCGTTACTATAGTAACTACCCCAGTTCCTAAACTGTAATGGAAATGCGCCATAAAGTGAGCCAGTCCTAACGAGGCCTAGCCATACCGAGCGGGGCCGAGCCCGACCGTGTGGTGGAAATGCGCCAAAAGATACTCAAAGAGTCCAGAAAGAGACAGAACACCTCTCCAGAGGAAAGGCCAAACGTGACACTCCAAACTTCTGAAACACATCCATGAAGAGTCACTAAACTTCTCCAAAGATGCAGAATTACCCCAAAGAGGATCATAAGAGTCTCAAGTGCAAGAAGAGACACACGTCTACGAGAAGAGACACACAACGTCTACGAGAAGAGACACACGTCTACGAGAAGAGACACACAACGTCTACGAGAAGAGACACACGTCTACGAGAAGAGACACACAACGTCTACGAGAAGAGACACACAACGTCTACGAGAAGAGACACACAACGTCTACGAGAAGAGACACACAACGTCTACGAGAAGAGACACACGTCTACGAGAAGAGACACACAACGTCTACGAGAAGAGACACACAACGTCTACGAGAAGAGACACACGTCTACGAGAAGAGACACACGTCTACGAGAAGAGACACACAACGTCTACGAGAAGAGACACACAACGTCTACGAGAAACCAAAAGAGAAACGAAACGTCCAGAAAGAAACGCAGAGTCTCCAAAGACGTGCACAACGACCACAAATGTTCTACTTTTTAAGTCCTATCTTTTATAGCCGTGGGGCAACGTATTGTTTAATAGATGCGTTTTCTAAAAGCTTGTTATGTTTAATAATTTAAACATTTATTATAATCATTAAAAAAGTAAATTGAAAAGACTTGAATTCAAGTTGTGACTCCGTCCAGTGGACCCGCTGAGCGCCTTGAACCCTCTGAAGATACTCAATCTACTCTTTCTTTGAATCACTTTCAAAATACAGACATGCTTTTGATAGTCC